ATGCTGCCGAAAATTTTTAAAAAATAAATATTGTTTTTTCCTTTTCCATCCTTTTACTTATTTCTTTAATTATTTTTATTATTTATTTATTTTCTTATTTATTTTTATTTTCTCTCGAAATCTCGCTGTTTATTTATTTTTCTCCCGCCTTCCCCCCCCAATGCTTGCTCTTTTACTTTCTTGATTAGGTCACCGATACCCTACCCTAACCACTTAAACCTCGGTTAGGGTTTTCTTAGGGTTTTGTAGGGTTTAGGGTTCTTCAAACCCCCCCCCTACTTCCCCGTCCTCTTCGGGCACCCTGGACCCGAACCACCCCTCCCCTTTTGATGGCGCCCGCGCTAGCCTTGCTAGCGTCATTCGCCGCTTTCTACCGCAGACTTCCCCCTACGCCCTCCGCTCACGCGGACCTCTTCTGGCCCCCTCCAGTCCGGTCCGTCATCTCCCCATGGCTGACGGTGTGTCACACGCCGCTGACACGGCGATGATCATGGTATCGGGCTCCACACCCGTGCCGGCGGACCAGGGCCATCAGCCCCAGGGAGATTTGCACACCCTCCTCACCTCCTTCCTGGCGCCCATCCAGGCGCAACTCGCGATCCTCGCGCCCTTACAGGCGCAGGTGGCGACCCTTGCCGCCGGCGTGCAGCAACTCCAGGACGCTGGTCGTCCTTCCTCTCCTCACCCTATCTCTTCTCCTGGCTCCCAGTCCGGGTCCCCCGCCTTCCGACAAGGTGGCCATGGTGGAGCTTCCTCCTCCGCTGCCTCCGACCCGACCATCTTGGTGACCGTCTACGCACCTAACACGACGACCGCCACGAGTCAGGCCCTCCCTCAGTCCACGGGCGCACCCGCCCAGATTCCGGTCATGACGGCCACAGGACCACAACCTGCTACCATGGTCTCAGCTTTTTCGGATGCCCCACTTCTCCCCCCTCTTCGCACGAGCGCAGCGCCATCTGGCTCTCCCCCTTGTGGGATGCCTCGCGCCGCTTGTACGTCTCCCCCTCCCACACCTCGCTCGACCTATATTCGAAGTCTCGAGGACGAGATCGCCCGGCTCCGGACCGACCTCGCCCTCTCACGCCTTCAGCCACCCCCACCCTCACAGGTGGCCGCGCCTACCATGGTCTCAACTTTTTCGGATGCCCCACTTCTCCCCCCTCTTCGCACGACCGCAGCGCCATCTGGCTCTCCATCTTGTGGGATGCCTCGCGCCGCTTGTACGTCTCCCCCTCCCACACCTCGCTCGACCTATGTTCGAAGTCTCGAGGACGAGATCGCGCGGCTCCGGACCGACCTCGCCCTCTCACGCCTTCAGCCACCCCCACCCTCACAGGTGACCGCGCCTTCCGGTGCACCCCCTTCTTCCTCTATTCTTCCCTCCATGCAGGTTCGCTTCCCTCAGCCTGCACCCTACCAATCTCCATCCTACCTCCTCCCCATCCCCTCGGTCGCCGCGACCTCTTCTACCGCAGCTCCCGTGCAGCCTGCCGCTGCTTCCCCCGCCGCTCCACCATGCGGCCCAGGCGTAGAGTCAGTTGCGCCTCCTCCTCCTCCAGGACCTGCGCCGACTTATTCCGCCGTAGCGCAGTCCCCTGCTTCCCGTTCCCCTCGCCGCCAAAACAGTGGCACACCACTCATCCGCTTGTCGGACATTCCCTTGTATGACGGTACTGCGTGGTGCTCCTTTCGACGCCTGGGAGGATTTCTATGCTTACTCCATGCGTGAGGGTCGGACTCCGACCTTCATGGATTTCCAAGCGTTCCTCGAGGATCGCTTCGGAACCCGATATGACGTGACTGACGCCTTCGAGCGTGTCGTCACTACACGCTGGTCCGGCTCTGGTGGCGCTGCCGGCCTGGATCGCCACATCCAGGTCTTCCAGGACGCCCGCCTCGTTTGTGATGTGGCGTTCCTTCCGGAGGCTGCCCTTATCGATCGTTTCTTGGCCAGCCTCCCGCTCGAGTACCGCTCCGAGCTATGACGGTACGAGTTCACATCGGCCCCACAGGCTTACGAGGCCGCCAGGGACCATCAGCGGATGCGAGCCCGTCTTCACCCTGCCTCCTCCTCCCAGCCCCAGCGCACGGGCTACGCTTCCTCCTCCTTGCACGACACTTCCCAGCGCCGTTCCCCTTTCCGCGGTCGCCCCCGCCGTTCCACGCAGCAAGGCCGCCACTTCTCCGCCGCTTCAGCGCGCTGGAGTATGGTGAGCAGGACGTTGTTGCCCCACTGTCACCTGAGGGCGACCACAACGACGACCTCGATCTCTGCGAGGCCGTCCACTATCACTTGGAGGACTCTACCCTCCTTGCAGCTGAGCGCCTTTATCTCGCGCTCTCCGCCCTCTCTCGGGCACGTAGCCGCCCCGGTCACGCTGGCRCGTCGCCCCCCGAGGTCCCTCAGGAGGACCTCCCTCAGGGCTTCGTCCCTCCTCGTGGTGTCCTTTCCNCACGCTGGCACGTCGCCCCCCGAGGTCCCTCAGGAGGACCTCCCTCAGGGCTTCGTCCCTCCTCGTGGTGTCCTTTCCCCTGAGGAGCGCGCGACCATTCTGGGCCGGCGTGGGTGTTTGCGCTGCCGCTTGGACGGTCATACCTCCTCGCGGTGCCCTTACACTACCACCCTCGACCGCCACTACGCTGACCTTTCTCGTCAGTGTTGTGCTCAGTCCCCCCCCGGCGCCTCACGTCCCCGCGGCGCCTCCTAGCCACGGTGCAGTGTACACCTGCGCCCTCCTCAGTAGTGGGCTTCCCGACATCTCCGTCGTGGTTCGCCCCTCTCGCTACTGGGGTTGAGGTATCGCAGGACTCGACAGAGTGTACTCAGCCCTCTGTTGCAGTACTGTCTGCGCCTCCGCAGACCACTGTCTCCCCTCCTTCCCTGCCGCGACTACCGACGCGTCGAGCCATTCGCTCAGCCCGTTGCAGCGAGCAGCTCGCTACTCGCGAGGACGTTGTGTCCTCTCTTCTGGACTTGAGCATGCTCCAGGCTCGTCAGGAGCGACTCACCCTCCATGTCGCTGCACTGCGGCGCCTTCTCGCCATCCTCTCTAACCCTGATCGCACCCTCCCGATCATCCCAGTACGACTCGGGACCTCCACGAGGGTGTACTCCGCGTTGTGGGATTCCGGTTCTCAGGGCGACTTCATTCACCCACGCGTGGTGAAAGAAGCTCGCTTACCCACGACAGGGTCTCTAACTCCCATTTCCGTTACCCTAGGGGATGACAAGACCCAGCGCTTCTTCGATCAGACGGTCACCGACCTCTCTTTCTTCCTCACTCTCGAGCCGACTGATCGTTCACCGGCGTCTCGTCGCCACCGCTCCTCTGCACATTTCGATGTGATGGAGACGGGGTACGACTTCATTCTCGGCACTCCGTGGTCTCGTCGGTTCCGCAGCACCGAGGCCGATTGGGCGACAAACACTCTCGTTCTCAAAACGAAGTGTGGACAGACGTATCTCGTACCTTTCATAGATACCACTGCGACACCACGCCCTGATTCTTCTCCCCCGGAGCCTTTCATGCCCACACCATCTCCTACCATCACTGTCACCTCGCCTCGGCAGTTTGCCCACTTCATCCGACAGGACGACGTCACCTTCTTTATGGTGGACGTGACGTATCTCTTACACTATGATCCACCCTGTCCCGACGCCGAGCTCATCCCTCTGGAGCCAGATCCTCCTTCTATCTCCATGGCTTCCATCTCTACTTCCGTCCCTCCGCCGTCCGTCGAGTCCACTCCGCTGTCGCACGTTGACGCTGACGCTGAGGAGCTCGCACGATATACGGCTGACCTGGAGCCCGCAGTTCGTGATCTCATCCGAGAGTACCACGACGTTTTCCCATCGTCGTTCTCGTACGTCGGCATCCCACCGATCCGTGACGTCGAGCACTCCATTCAGCTTGTGCCTGACTATCGTGTTCACCACCAGGCACCCTACAGTCTCTCGATCCCCGAGGCCACCGAACTCAAGCGTCAGCTTGAGGAGCTCCTGAGACTGGGTTTCATTAAACCCAGCAACTCCCCGTGGGGTGCACCCGTCCTCTTTGCTCGAAAAGCGGATGAAACTCTTCGTCTCTGCATCGACTATCGCGGTCTCAACCGCTACACGGTTAAGAACAGTTACCCCATGCCTCGTTTTGATGAGTTGTTCGACCACCTAGCAGGCAACCGCTTCTTTACGAAGATCGATCTTCGTAGCGCTTACCATCAGATCCGCGTCGCTGCAGCCGACCAGCCAAAGACCGCGTTCCGATCGCGATTCGGCCACTACGAGTTCACTGTGATGCCATTCGACCTCACCAACGCACCCGCTACCTTCCAGAGGGCGATGAACGACATCTTCAGAGACATCCTCGAGCAGTACGTTCTCGTCTACCTCGACGATATCGTGGTCTATAGTCGTACCCTTGAAGAGCACCTCAGACACCTCCGCGACGTCCTTGACCGCTTGCGCAGACATGGCTTCTACGCCAAGCTRAGCAAGTGCCGCTTTGCCCAGCACAAAGTGGATTTCTTAGGACACTACGTGTCTGACCAGGGTCTCCACATGGACGATGCGAAGATCACTGCTATTGCGGAGTGACCCGCCCCCACATCCGCCAAGCAGCTTCGCAGCTTCCTAGGCCTGACCAACTACTATAGTAATTTCATCCGGGGATACGCTAGGTATTTTTACGTCCTTACCTCCACCCTCCTCCGGAAGAACCCACCCTGGGTTTGGACACCCCTCCACGAGGACGCCTTCCGCGCCCTCAAGAAGGCGGTGACATGCGCACCGGTTCTTCACCTACCCGATTTCGATCGCCTTTTTATCCTTAACAACGATGCGTCAGACTTTGTTGTAGGAGCATTGCTTTCTCAGGTCTTCCCCTCCTCTCCTGATTCCTCTCATCCTCGTATCCCTCGCTTCCCACCACCTACCCCTACCACCACTTCCCGACTGACGCCAACTCGTCCAGCTACTGACGAGCCTTCTATTGACTATTCTCCTACCATCGTCGAGGACGGCACTGTCGAGTCTTGCTCAGGTGATTGTCTGATAGCCTTCTACTCCCGTCATCTCCTGCCCGCCGAGAAAAACTACACTGCTGATGAACGTGAGGTTCTCACAGTAGTTTATGCCGCTCGGCACTGGCGTCACTACCTGCACGGGGCACCGTTCACGGTGCATACGGACAACTCTGTTGTCCAGGCTTTTCTGACAAAAACGAAGCTCACTCCTCGACAGGCTCGCTGGTGGCGCGACCTATCCGAGTTTAGTTTCACCACTGAGCACATCAAGGGTGAGACTAATCGGGTCGCAGATGCCCTATCCTGGCGCCTTGACCACGACCAGGAGCACATCCAACTCTCTTCCATCTCGGTCACCACCGTCCACCACTCGGTGATTGATGAGTTTCGCACTCAGTACCGCCACTGCCCCGACTATCGCGACATCCACGCGACCCTTCGGAGTGGCAAGACCGTCCCGAACTACTCTCTCGGGGACAACGGTCTTGTGTACTGGCACGGTTCACAGGGCACCAGAGAGCCCCGTATTTGCGTTCCCTCCACTGGACAGCTACGTGTCCAAGCAGTAGCAGAGTTCCATGACCAGGCAGCCGCCGGTTATATGGGCTTCCACAAGACGCTGGCTCGTGTGAGACGCCTGTACGTCTGGCCGAAGCGCAAGGACTTTTTGAAGGACTACGTCGCAGAGTGTCCCACCTGTCAGGAGGTGAACAGTGTGAACCACCTACCTTATGGTTTGCTCCAACCTCTTCCTATCCCTAAGGGTCGTTGGCAGTCCATCTTGATGGACTTTATCAGTCCTCTTCGACCTCCGACCCCCCGCGGTCATGATGCTATCCTGGTCGTCGTCGACCGCTTCACGAAGCGTGCACGCTTTGTTCCGTGCCGCTATGCTATCAGTGCACATGAGGTTACCGACATCGTGTTCGACCGAGTCGTGCGTGACCACGGCTTACCTCTCAGCATCATATCTGACTGTGACCAGCGCTTTACCAGCCGATTCTGGCAACGGCTCCATGAGGTATACGGCACTCAGCTCCGCTTCTCCTCGTCTTACCATCCTCAGACTGATGGTCAGACCGAGATCACGAACAGGACTTTCGGAGATATTCTCCGAAAGATTGTTCGTGACGACCAGCAGTGGGACCTCTATCTTGCCCACGAGGAGATAGCCTACAACCACGCCGTCTCGCCAGCCACGGGGATGTCGCCTTACTATTGCGACCTCGGCTATCACCCTCGTGTTCCCGCGGACTTCCTTCGACCGTCACAGATGCACCCCGACACGAGTTGTCCCGCGCTAGATGATTGGGTTGCACACATGACGTCGATCATGAAGACCGCACATGAGCACATATCCGCTTCCCAGACTCCCATGGCAGCAAGTGCGAACCGATCGAGGATGAATCATTCATTCAAAGTCGGTGATGATGTGCTTATCGACGCCCGCCACTTATAGCTCGAAGCGGATACGCTTCGCAAGTTTCGACGTCTCTTCTTTGGTCCATGCCGCATCCTCCAGGCCGTCGGTTCTGATACGGCTTCTAGCCCAGTCAGCTTCCGTGTGAAGCTGCCCGACTACCTACGCCAGGCTCGTGCGCACGATGTCTACCACATCTCGTTACTGCGTCCTTACCGCAGACCGTCTGAGCGTTTCGCCGGACGACCATACGAGCGCCCTCCACCCATCATGGTGGACGGTCACGAGGAGTTCCTCGTTTCAGACATCATTGGTCGCCGAGTCACCGACGACAACTCTCCCCACGTCGAGTATCTCGTACGTTGGAAGGGTTACCCTGATGAGGAGGCTACCTAGGAGCCCCTCGAGCACTTGCAGCACGCTCCCATGTTGGTGCGTGCCTATGACCGTGCTCGTCGTGCTGGGTTCACTACTCCTCCTCAGCCCACTGACCCTCCTCCTTCTCCTCCGGCTGAGGAGACCGCTCAAGTCGAGCTTGCTCCATCTGAGGCAGACCTTCAGCAGCAGCCGGATGCTTCTGAGCATCCACAGCGCACTCGTCGTCGTCCTGCTCGATACGACGATTGACTCTGACTTACCTTCCCACGTCTTTGACTTCTCAGTACTCCATCCACATTAGTTTTGCTACTTCAGCTCGTCRACGCTGCGGCTCTTCCTCGGCGGCATTCCGGACTTCTCATCGTGGACGTCATAGGCACCTTCATGGACTTCGTCACGATCAGCTCTGCCTACTTCAGACGTCGCCACTCTCTTACCACTTTACCCTGTACAGTACCCTGCTTGTGTCGCATGATGGTCTCCCTTTAGCCGGGTTCCTCTGAGTTGGGCTCTCCCTTGGTATACGCATAGTCATCAGGACCGTAGCGTTGCCCTGGCTTCCCACCTTACGGATCTAGCTCCGACTTCCTTCACTTTAGGAGTCATTTGCATGATTCTCTTACCCGTCATCTTTCTACCCTTTGCCGGCCCTCACGCCCTAGTTCGGAAGCCCCGCATGCTTCATCTAGGTGCACTCAGTATACCAGGCTCCCTTGTTCCCTTGCATGGTCGACCCTCCATAGCGGTCACCCCTTAGTCGAGCATTACCCGCCCTGATGGTCTATCTGTTAGGGTCATTGGTTTTGTTCGCTCCCAGTTCCCTACCGTCATGTGTTTTCCCCTGTCACTATGTGTGGATGCCCTTAGGAGTTTTCGACCCCTAGGCTGCATTCGCCACCCTCAGAGATCACCCCACCCTTTGGTTTGCGACACACTTCTCATGTGACATATGGTTGTCTTGTTGATTGCTTTGTTGCTCTCAGACCGAGGCTACTGCCTCCGACATTTCCAGGATTTAGTTGTTCTGCTTTTGCTGTTCTTAGGACTTATACAGTAGTCAGTTGTTACCAGGCTAGTGCCTCCAGCATTCTAGGATCTAGTTGTCACTACTTTCTGCTTTCCTAGGACATGTATGCTAGTTAGTTGCTTTTGCTTTCCTAGGACATGTATGTTAGTTAGTTGCTTCTGCTTTCACTTAGGCTGTTAGCTGTGACATTGCTGTTTTGTGACATTTTATATCCTAGGTTGCATCGCATGGACTCAGCATGGAGCTTGCTCTGCATCCTAGACTACTCAGGTTTTCTTTTCTTTGGTAGAGTTCCGCTTCTTGGCGGAAGCATGTTTGTATCTATCCGATCCATCACATGTCGAGGATCATGTAGCGGACCTCGGGTTGGCCTGTGAGACCAGCCCCTTGGCCTGTTCTCACAGGCCTGTGTTGTATTCGGGGTAGGCCAGTCCAGGCCGGTACCTCTCTCGGTACCAGCCAGTCCAGTCCAGTCCCGTCAGTCTGTTGGGGTATACCCCAGCCATTGTCTGTTTTCAGTCTCATTCTTCACTTGCACATTTTGGAATACGTGCGTTGGAGTCTTGCGTGGGGAGCTGTGTTGTGCCATCTCGCTCCTCCCTTCTTCCTCCATCTCCATCTCTGTCACTAGCGGAGCACCACACCTGGTGGGTCCGCTACAGGGAGGGCGTGCCGGCGGCAGTTCGATTGTGGAATGGGGAGGGAACGGGCGGTAGGTTGGGGGCAGCAAGAGGGAAGAGGCGGGGGAGGGAACAGGTAGGACGATGGGCTAGGTAGGGCTGGTACTTCCCCCCAAAAGGTTTGAAAAGGGTGGCCTTCTCGGCCTCTGATCTCTCGAGATCAATGGTCCAGATAGGCCGCCCTTTTCAAGCCTTTTGGGTTGGCCTACCAGACCCGGTTTGATTTGTTTTGGGCCAGGAGACCTCCACAGCCTGTGAGGAGGCTTCCTGGCCCAAAAAGAAACCGTTAAGTCCCCCCAGATTCGATGCACTATGGCCAACCCGGGGGGAACCGGCCCAATGAACCGGCCAGTAGGACCGGACCGGTTTCAGTTGGGGGTGGGCCCCCTTGTCCTACCGAATTTACAGCACTACTTTCTATCCCTTATGCGTTTTTTAGTTTTTTTGTTTTTCCTCTCTGGAAGAAGATCGTTGGCCATTCTTGATGTGCTCCCCATGAGAGACAGGGAGCAATCAATGCCTCCATCATTTCTTTTTTCTGGTTTCTCGCACTGCTGTTTCCAGAATGTATCTGGTTGTGCTTGTGGGCTGCCTGGGCGAATGCGCAAGTAAAAACGGCTGCCCAATTTTGTACCAGCTGCTGGCTTTAGGTCCAGCATAAGGGTCGGTACCTGTGTCAACCAAAAAATGTCCCCTACCAGTTCCCGCCCCCTCCAGGCTAGGCAAAGCGCCGGGCATATTTAGGCTCGGCATCACTAGCTAGGCCAAGTACTGGTGGTTTGAGGTTTCGATCTCTGGTAGGGCCTTAGGAAGCAATCAATGCTGTTGTATCATGGTCCCTGGACCCTAAGGAAGGGAAGCGTTGAGTGTGGATTTTCATGTGAGGGGACACTGAGGGACACTGGAAACGATTTTCAGTTTTAATAATGAATAAGAAAGAGAGGTTGATGCGGAGCTGCGCTAGCGCTAGCGCCCCGACGCCGCCCGGCCAGCAAGGCCCGGTCTGCCGGCTAGACTAGTGCCTGGGGGAGGGAGCTCCTCGGTCGCTAGGCCTGTGCGCGTGCCCGGCAGACGCGCGTGGCGTCCTGATAGCCATGTGGCAGCTGCTGTTGATGACGTGGAATTGTTGAAAAAAAAACGTGATCGCGGCGCAGAGGTGTTA